AGTTAGGTAAATATGATTATTTTTTAACATTGTTCTGTGTCTGTCTCTTATACACATCTAGATGTGTATAAGAGACAGGAATAATGAAAGAAAGTTTATGCAGCATCAGTGTTTTATAAAATGTTATAAAGCTATACGCGCGCACGCTGTTTGGTGACAACATGGCGCCCGTGCGCCAAGTTGGCCAAACTCTCTCTATCTACGGCTCTGCCTTGCTTTTCGTTCGAGCGCCACCAAAGTGTACTGCTGTCCATAAAACGGATGTTGTCGAAGACTACAGGTAAACATAGGTACGTTGGCCGCCTGTCTTTTGCTGTAGTAAAGTTATAAAAAAGACGAAAAATACCGACGTACCGCTAAAGATTTTATGCTATTTCCTGTTACTGATTTGCTATACTTTATTATGTGAGTATAGTATGAATAATAATGATTGGTGAAACTTAACATACAGTAATTCGAAATCTAGGCTAGGCCTAGATTTTCACAGGCTTTTCCTCCAATGTTTAGAGTTTCACGCTGGAAATCCACTCTGCTGAAAGCATGTTTGATCTTGGTAGCGATCTGCTTGGCCTACGCGGCTTTCACTGGACGGCTGATGCAATTATCGCAGTCGTGTACACACAAACAATCAAAAGTGACTATCGGGAAACTGGTAAGTAATACTGCCTACCGTAAGTTTAAATTAAGAATACTTAAAAAAAAAAAATGTTGTGGCTAGAGATATGGTACCATATCTTAGTTTCTGTTTGCTAAAGGTATTTTAAAATGGCATTATCCAATAAAGTGCCCCCACCAGACTGTGTGACAACATCGTTGAAAAATTGCTCGCTGTGAGCCTGCTTTCCTGATGATACAAAAGTGACATAATAAGATAACGTCACATTCACAGAGCAGAAAACAAGTCCATAATTGAGCAACTCGCCAAAAAACAGTACTGTAAATAGAATTAAAAATGCCATGACTATACAGAACAATTAATGGCAATCTTCTATCACATACTCCTCAAAGATAAATTATATTACGTAACACCTTACTGTACAATAGCCAAGACTATATACAATTACAATGCAATTAGCTTTTGTATGAGAAAAGATGGTATATCACAGAAAAAAAAATAATTATATTCAAATTAAAGCATGAGAGTGCCATTTCTGGTGCCATAATCATAATTTTTCTTACCTCAGCCCTAATTATGGTGGGGCGGCTGAGGTGGTTTGACCCTCTATTTATATGAAAGTCTCTCCGTGGACCCTGTCTATTTTAAATTCCTGGATTGGCCACTGATTTGGCAACCAAGACATTTCAGGTTACAAAAACTCTGAATTGCAGAATGTTACGGAAAGTCTAGGTTTCAGAATGTTTACATTATTCCTGGCCTATATATGTAAAACCTAGGACTAGATAGATAGTTTGATGTTAGCCTGTAACACTGGCTCAACTTATTGTGGTCACCTGATGACTCTTACTTTTTGTTCTTAGTGTGATCTCTACAAATCAAAGATTATCAATGGTAATCTCTGCAATGACATTTGCTCTGGGAATATCGAATACATTGATTGTCTGCATAGTCCCAGAGGTAAAGTAGTTTTATTGGCGCAATGGAAGAACCAGAAAATCGTCCTCAAAACGAAGCATCCCAGCGTGGACGCGTATGCGCCTGTGTATTCCGTGATGGAGAACCTGGAAGGTATTGCCGAGAAAATGTACCCAGAAGACGTAATTTTCAAGTCGTTGGTTGAGAGTCAAGCTCAAACGTACCTTGGGACAATAATAAAAGAAGGGGATGATGTCGTGGATCGTTTTTGGTTTGGAAACTGGTCCAAAGATCGTTTAAACACGCTTTCATTTCATGCATCAATGAACAGCCTTTGGATGCTAATGTCACAGGATGAATATATATTCCTCAAGTATCATGACACCCATCCTAATGTACCACAAGTGTTAGGTGCTTGCGGGTACTTCTACGCAGTTGAATACAGCCCCCCTGGTGTAATCTTTGAGCCGGAATTCTTGAACATAGGCCAGCAGTTGCAGTCAGCACCATGGCAGGGAAGAGCTAACATCGCCCTGGGGCTTTTGAAGCTGATAACAGCCTTTGATAAATCCTTCCCACAAAAGTTATATCACTGTGATGTCAAGGAAGGGAACTTTGGGTTGCAATCAAACACCGAATGGGCAACTGATGCTGTTGTGAAGGTGATAGATGTAGATATGGTGTTTTATGAGAACAAAATTGGAGAGATAATGGGCCAGGGTGAATGTGTTAGGGACTCGGACTGCGATTTCTTTCATTGTAGAGGGCGATGTAATCAGGAAACGAGAATGTGCTCTCCTGAAATCATTAGTTCAAACTTACAGGTTAGATAATTTTGCTTGTTTTTTTTTTCCTTCACCTACTATAGTGATCCACCAACTGCCAAAATGCCAATTGCTGACTGAAGTCTGCTGAGACTCAGACTGTCAGAGGCAGGCCTGCCTGTTTAGACAATTTAAATGGCAGTTGTATTGTATTATTTCTCAAGTAGAAGAGTATGTGTTTGTTTATTATGGTTTTTGTTCCCTGTACTAGTTTGTTTTTGTGTTTTCATTTTTTTTGTTAATTTTAAGATAGTTTTTTTTCTCTGATCTTTGAATCTCCTGCATAATTTTTTCTTCTATTTCTTTACATTCATCTTACCTTTTGTTTATCTGGACACAGCGCTTAGAGACCTTGTTTATTTGTGCCTTATAAATCAACCATTATTGTTATTATTATTCATTTTTAATAGTTATAGTATTTATAATTACGGTATGTTTTGTTGCATTCACAGGTGTTTTGTAGCAATTTGTTTTTACCTAGACACGGAAAACCAGGTTTGTTACGTTACCCACCGTCATCAATTTCCAAAGAACTGGCAATTGTATTGGAGAAATGCACAACTGTAGGCCAGTCTCCTAGGCAGGCTGACATCCAGAAGGAGCTAAAGAGACTCCTCATCAAAAGCCTTGAATGAATGCTGGATGGAACTCCAAGAGATTGTGTCTGAAGAAGAACATGTAGCTAGGCCCTGGAGCTAGTAACATTGCTTTGGCAAGTGAAATCATGTTGATATTTGTAATAGAATATTACTTTTTGGTAAAGAATTATTGCAATAAATACAGTATTAGTAGTATTACAGTAGTACAATAGATGGCAGGTAGCCTATGTTTAAGCCGACATTGGGCCTACTAACAGTAATTTTGTCACAATGATGTGGCAATATTTCGATTCAGTCCTAATTCAAATTTGTAAAATTTGTCTTCATATAGCAAACATAATGACTTCCATTCCTTATATCTGCGGCAATAATATTTACCTAGATATACAATTTATTAGAATACTAACATTTATTAATCAAATAAAAAGATGATTAATTAATTTTAATAATTACTCAGAAGTAAACATTTATGATTCATTCATACTATTTTATAATGAAATTATTCCAGTTGTTTATTTAATGAGTTTATTATTGATAGAAGCATAATGTTTGAATGTGAGCCCGCAAACATGCTGATATATTTGTCAGAGATTATGTTTGTAAAAAATGCATTTTTAAGTTGTCTTTCTTTTCAGTGGTGGAACCAGTGAGGGTGGGTTCACGTTTGGGGTTGGGGTTCAGAATAAAATTTCTCTCTGTTGGGCAAGTATAGACCACTTTGTCATCAAGTGCCACTTGGGCTAAAAATATTAACCCCTGTTGGATCTTCTTCCTCCCAATTGTTGACAAATTTTTGGAGCCACCACAATTGCTTTCTGCTTATATTTACCTTCGAATTCTGTATTTTTGCAAATGAGAATTGTCTGAAATATACCATAGTTATTATAATTATACTGTAGATAGTAAGAAGACGATAATGATGTGATTATGATTACAGTATATTTTGTGTTCAAATGTCCCGTATCTTTGCTGTCTTTTCAGTGGCAATCTAAACCTATCTACATGGGGAGGAGCGATTTTAGCTTAGTGTATATATGTACAGTACATGGGGAGTGGTTGTTGGGTTGGGGGGAGGCTGAGAAAGTGAGGGTGCTCTAGATTGGAGAATGAAGTGATGAGGTAATTTTTTACAAATTCAGTGTATTTTTTTTTCTCAGCAAAGTTTTCAGTGGGGTTCACCCGCCCCACTCGTTGAGATATGCCACTAATTCTGCTTAAGTAGTTAAATGTTGAATGGAATCTCATAAATATATTTATGAAGGTAGTTATTTTAACTATGTGTATGGTAATGTAACATTAGAGTTAAACTATATAATTGTTTATATACTATATGTAATGAATTAATAAATCATATTTGGTAATAATAATAAAATATTTATATGTATACCAGGTTTATATAATAAATTTCCTGTTATGTTCAAATGTTGTAACTTTTTTTTATAAACATATCAACATTCCGGTGAATGATGTACTAGTTGTGTTATATTGCAATACTTAGGCAAGAATTTGTATATACCTTGTTTACCGAACACACTGCATGCCTATGATGATGATTTCGATTAAAAATAAAATTTCATTTTTGTCCAATTAGCGCATCCGCTGCCACAAAAAAAATAGAAATTTCAGAAAAAAGTAACTTTTTCTTTACTTTTATTACGCCCACTGCTGCCTTGAAATCTCCAAAAATATGATATGTATATTTCTTCCTAATTACATAAATTTAAAGCATTTAACCATCCCATTACTACACTGTTTACATTCACCAATAAAATTGGCTGTCATTTAAACTGATAAACTGTTAACTAAAACCACTGCTAATTATTTTACTCATTGAGATGAGAGAGGGAGAGATGGTGTTTTACAATTGATTTATCCTTATAATGTAATTTATAATATTACTTAATTTATGTATACTTGTATAAAATAAGTTACAAATGATGAGTTTTAATCTATGTTATCGGTATTTTCTTTTATCTGAATGTTAGAACTCCAAATTGATCAAACTAGCCTGTGTGGAAAATGTTTCATATGTGAAGTATTTTTAGATATTCTCAAAGATGATTGCATCATTACTTTCCAATACTGTGGCTCATTATTTATGTATAAGTACAAACTCTTTCAGAATATGATTTATATTTCACAAATTGCAGTTACTAGTTTCTACTGGGCATCACCTTGATTCACACCACTAATTTACCCCCCCCCCCCAATTTGTATAAATTTTTGATTTACATTAGTCTTTTAAATATTTTAAAATTTGATCTCAAAGATTATTGCAATGTTACTTTCCAATTCTGTGGATCATTATTTATGTATTAAAGTACAAACTCTCTCCGAATGTGATTTATATATTAAAATTGCAAATGATATAAGTTTTATTCTATGTTACTGGTATGTTCTTTAATATCTGAATGATAGAACTCCAAATTGAGCAAATTACTAGCCTGTGTGGCAGATGTTTGATTTATGTTAAGTCTTTCAAATGTTCTCACAACTGATCTTAAAGGTGATTGCAACGTTGCTTTCTAATATACATGTAATGTATACATGATCATTATGTATAAATGCAAACACTCTCAGAATACCATATATATATTTACGACTAAAAAGTATATTTTGTATAAAGTGCTTGACATTTACATTTTAAAAATGATATTCCATGATTTTTGCTCAAATTTATTTGAGACATCTGTTTAGGTGAAACCATAGATTTTAAAGATGTAAAATGAATAATTAGCATGCGTTTCTTACTTGTTTGCTTTTATTCTTTCTTGATTTTGCTTTTAAGATTCTTTGCATTGGTGTAACGCCTATGAGCTCTTGTGAGAATGAAGCCCCGGGCCCCCAGTCCAAAGGTGCCCCAGAGGGGCTTTTCTACTAAAGCATAGTACTCTTTGATATTATGGTCTAGCAGAAGACATGCAAAACCAGCAAATTAAAACAATGTAATTCCTGGTTTATAACTCACAAAAAATGTTCTGTGACTCTTTTATACAAATAGCAATTCCAAATGCAAAGGTGTTCTACAGTTGGGCTCCACCACAAAAAGAAATTTGCTAGTCTGAAATAATCAAGAAAGGGCTACTGGAATTCACAGAGATTGAAGGGGCCTCTCAGCCACTTTCATGACATACGCGCATGGTACCCCCAGCACTTTATCGCCCCTGGGCCCTGCGACTCGCCATTTCGCCACTGGTTCTTTGTGTCTTGTTTGATGATGTTTTATATTTAAATCTAGTTTTAAGCTTTTACAATCTAATCTAAGGGTCTTTCATTCACTATCCATGTAAACTTACTACTACATTGTATTTTAGAAAATTTTGTAATTATAGATCGTTGACATAATATTGTTCATATCTACATGTTTATGTATGTTAAAATGATGTCTGTTTATTTATACTGTCAACTGTATTTTATAGATTATATAAATGAATAAACCATATACGAAATTTCAAATAGATTCATCTGGTTTTTTTGTAATGGCTATAGAACTGTTACATTGATAATAAACAAAGTACAATGGATGTAAACTTACGAAATTTCCAAAACATCGAATGCTGGCTCGCATTGCCTGGCAAATTCATGTTGATAACATCGACGAAAGCATGCAGTAACCTTACATGCATTGTGCTTGGTGTATTATCGATAAAACAGTTTTACAATATTAATTTTAGTTTCCAAAAATGCTTACCATGAATGTGTTATGAATATGTGTCTCTTTTTCCAATTACTGTACTGTAAATTGTTATCATATTCCTGGCATCTAATATAGGTAAATATATTCAGTAATTACATTACAGAGAGAAGGCAAAAATATCTTCACATTTTTTATTGCACATAATTTTGTTTGATTTTTACACACTTCTTATCATAAAATAGTACTTCAGTAATCAAAGAATTCATAAAAATTAAACTATTTTTCATTTAAAAAGATCATCAAAATATGATTGGAATGAGTTTTCTATTGGTATTATTACACTGAATCGGATACAATATCTACAACGATGACATCAATTATATATAACACAATAATGCATTGTGGGAAGTGATGTGTTTTACCCATAATGCAGGTTAATCAGTAGCAGCGCATGTGCAGAAAGATGAGAAGCAGCAATTCTAGATTTTTAACTACACAGTAAACAAAATTAACAACTATTTCTTAAATACTTATTCTAACATACTCAAACTAAACTACATTAGACATGTGCACGCTTTAAATAGTTATCTTTGTTGTGGTGTTTGTCTTTATGTCGACTACTTTTAATGAACTTTTATCCTGGTAACAATTTGCATTGGTATAGATTTTTAACTACAGTATATATACACTTTTAACATTACAGTACATACTCTTATACCCTACTGACACAAGAAAAAAAAATATTACATGTGTCGCCATCTAGGAAAATTCTAACATGCGTCCCCGGCTTGGAAAATTCTAGCATGGGTCCCCAGCTTAATGGCAAGCACGCATCCTGTAAACGCTAATATCCATAAAAAAAAATAACATCACAGAGGCCTGAGATATTTAGCAAGGATTTATGCAGATGTTCATGGGGGTGCAGCTTATATTTACTCTTTGGCGTTGCTTGTATCTTTACAACCTGTGCATAAATTGCACTGACTTTTAGCAAGGTTTATATTCACTTTTCTGTAGACAACAGGCGTACAAATAGGGCTATCTCAGAAATTCTTTTTAATGTTTAGGCTATGTTTGTACAAAACACCTAACAGTTAGCATCATCTAGATAAATCCAAGGTCACCTTTCCCTTCAGAAGTGCTAACATTTAAGGTAATGGGTAGCTTCTGATCAGGATCAAAATGCCCTAGTGTGAACATGGCCATCCCATGTAATATTTTATCTTGTGTAAATTGAGTATTATTTAGAGAAGAGTTTTTAATCCTACACAACATCATGAGATATCAAGCTCATAAGAAACAAAAATTAAGGCGATTTTCAATTGGTGCAATAGCCCCATAGGTATACAACCTGTCATTGTAATTCATCTAACTGTAAAAGTTAATATACACTGAGGCCATGCACGTTGTTCTGTTCATAAAAAAAGGCTTTACAAATCTTTACAAAAACAATTATTATAACATGAAACAAGAAATGCTTAAGTAGTACTTCAAAATCATTGTTTCACATCCAATAGGAAATTACCTAACCTTTGCACTTACATGAAGGGATAATGTTCTATAACATTGGCAGATACAAGGAGGGGGGGCCAGAGCCCCCTAAATTTTAATAAAAATATAAGTAGGAGAAGGCCATTTCCAGCCATCTAGGTGCCATAATCATAACTTTGTTTACCTCAGCCCCAACCATGGTGGGGCTGAGGTGGTCTAAACTCTGCATCTGTGAAAGTCCCTCCCTGGGCCCCCCTCTACTATGTATTCCTGGATCCACCACTGATATTGTCTTAAGGCTTTGGGAGGGAAATTGTTTTATTAATGAGAAAAAAAAAATCTTGGCACCTCACAGTATTTCAACCCAGGTCTTTTTGAATTGAAAGGAACTTTCACCACAAAAATACAGCGCCACTCCATGAACGTATTCTATAGTATAAATCATCTTTTAGCTCAATTAATTAAAATATGTTTTACCTTTACAAATAAATGGGATCGTGAAAATCTAGGTAATAGAAGATTCTTTATACATTCTGATTTTGATTAAAATATGAATCTTAAAAATCTATGCTGAATCTAATTATTATTACAGTATTAAGTGTTTAAGTATTTTAAACATAACATGCAGAAAGCTAACAACAGCTAACAAAATAAAGTTTGAGCAAGCAGTTTTCTGCTATGTTATCCAGTTTAGTGGGGCTTTAACTTCAAGGAACAACATGATAACTCAAACTGTTTTTTTTACAATGTGGAGAATTTTCTTTCATATGCCATTACCTTGCTTCGACACTACCGAACCTAGCTCTCACAATCAACAATTTTGTAACCACATAAAAGGTAGTAACCAATAGCTGTAATGCTGAATGCTACAGTGGCAGACCCAGGCATATTATACACATGAGGGGGTGGGAACTAAGACCTAGATAAATACACACTTTGGTATCTCTATCCATAATTTGTTCTTTGCAGAAAATACATATTTCATATTGTTGCTTTTTAATTATTAGCAACAGTTGTTCCAAATACAGTAGAAGGCAGTACTGTGAATACATCCCCACCCTACTCCTGGTCTGCCACTGTCTTGAAACCAATGCTACCTTCTATGTTTAATACAGCACCATATTCCCAGCACAACATTGGCGAACAGTGTATGCCTTCAAACAAAAACATTCATAACATCCGGCAAGATTTTTTATTTTTACAATAATTACGATCACCAAGACACACTGTACATTACCTAATTCTGTTATTATTATTATTACTATACTGGTAATAATAATAAACAAAATATTTACAAAGGCACTAGTGATTCATTAAAAATAAATCTTCCTCCAAAATGAATAAATCTAAAAGAAAATATTGCTCCAGTTTATATTTAAATATTGATATTTTATTTTGGAACATTTAAAATTTTACCAGAGACCAGTAGCATATTTGGCAAAGAGAAAAGAAATACACATTTCTATATAAAGCCAGGCACTCACTTAGTCTGACGGTCATCATCCAACGCGATTCAATGGAGAACACAACGCGGTGATTCACGCGCAACGGATTGTTTTAAGGACAGTTCGTTCTGATTGCCACTGACGCGATTCTATGAAGAATTCAACGAGGCGACTCGCGCGCAACGAATCGTTTTTAACGACAGTCTATTGTGATTGTCACCTATGCGATTCTATGAAGAACGCAACACAGCGACTCGTGCGCAACGGATCGTTTTAATGATGGTCCATTCTGATTGCCACCGACAATCAGCACACGGCATCGTCTAGCGCTCACAAGAAGCGGAGTTGGATTCATCGTACGATGCAGCAAGTGCCGAGCTTAATAGTCAACATATCAAAATTTAATTAAACATTTTTTTTTATAAATCAAGCAGTGATTAATTAATAATTATCTAATAAGCGCCATATTTCGTGATTAAGAATTATGTTAGAAATTATTTCCTGAATATTTAGAAAGTATTTTCCTGAGAATTTCTTTATATTTTTCATAAATTCTATATTAAATTACAAAAGAAAGTGACACGTGGTAATTTAACAAGTCAATATCATTTTCTCTTTCTAATTACAGACACAGAAAAGTATTTATCATTACCACACTTCATAGGTCTATGAGTAAATCAAAGAAAATTTATATGATATATTCGAAATGTAATTTATTATTTATCTAACATTTATTCTTTGGCTTTTAGCTTTGGAATCAAGTTTATCGTAATAATTCCTTTGGTAGTCCTTCTCTTTGTAATTATACACAAAACCAACTTAAAAAGACATTCTATGGTCTCAGTAAAATATATTACAATTTTTTTTATATTAAATTCCACATAATGTATTATAGTACATAATACAGTAGAAGACTAATTATATTAAACTTAAATTACCAAATAAGACTTGTATTGAACCTCAAACACGTTATATAAGGACATAACGACATTCTGCAACGAAGTATGCAACAGGATGAATCCATCTAAATTATTCACTAAAAACATAAGTACACGAACATTACGTTGCCTCAGACAATTTCCTGTTTAGGAAGGTGTATCGGTACGGCCACTTGTGTTGCATTATGGGTATGCTGATGGAGCTTGTAGCTGTCAGATGCAGCATGGTGAATGGATGATGGCGGGGCTGGACTAATAGTAGGCGGTGTTCCTGGATGGCTCGAGTGGCCGTTGGTGATTGGCTCAAGGTGTTCATGTGCTTGACCAGCTGTACTGACCAATGGTGTCTGTTGTTGACCATCAGTGTGTGCACCTATAATAATGAAAGTAAACAAAAATTACTGTAATTTATTTTATGATGTTTTCATCTTGTATTCTTTAACCAGTTTTTTTATGATTGATTACAATATCTAAGATCTTCAATTTCTTTATGAGCCTTCCAAGGGCCGTGAAGTTGTTTTTGCTTGTGAAAATAACTTTTTTGCCAAAGATTGAACGCAAAATTTTGGGACTGGATCTTAGCGCCATTTGAATAGTACTCGCTTTCTTATATGCAACTTTTTTTTGTATACCTTGTCTAGTAAATTTTATTTAACAAAAATTTTCATTTAGAAAAATGGTTATGCCAAAACATATAGGTGGAGGAGAAGGTATATTTTTAATATTATTGATGAATACAAAAATGCAATTTTGTTGGGGGCCATAGCTTGAGACTCTATCATGTGGTCATAAAGAATGATTTGCCCTTTGTATGTTTTTAAAAAGTTTTCTGGTGAAATCCATTTAATGAAATGATGCTACAAAGTAAAACATTTCAGTAATCAGATAGATAAATGTATTATATTTATTCAATTGTGAGGAATAAATAATAATAATAGATGAATTTATATAGCGCAAATAAACAAGGTCTCTATGCGCTTGACAATCTGAGTTTTCCAATTCTTTTACAGCGATGGGTGCGCTAACAAAGTAAATCTTTATCATCAACAGGTGACAGACTCACAAAACAAGGTGTAAAGTCTCGCCTAAAGATGAAAATTAATTAGCCTTACCTCCAAGCAGCATTTCTTGCAGTAAATTGTCAATTTTTGCAACACCAAAAAGCTTCACAAACTGAATCTGCTCAATCATTTGCCACGTTATACTCTGCAGAGTCGGCAGTAAGAGTAGGATCTCACCAAAGCGCCCTCTAGAGTCATACTGTCTGTCATTGATGTAATCTTCTAAATTGATCTGAACTTGATATCGCATGGCTTTGATTTTCATCTGTTCACTCAGGCCTTTTGCATCTAAAAGACCAAACGAATACTTTTAATCGATCAATCATTGTTTACATTTAAGCGACCACATCAAGATGTCACAATTTATTTTTTGACACGGGCATCTAATTATCTACATCTGTTGGATATCTAATGTACTGCATTCATTGTGTTTGCTGGCATTCAATAGAAATATAAAATATTTATATAAGTGTGGCACCAAGGTCCATAATTCATAGTCGGGGTTTTCTAATAAAAAGACACTTTAATGAAATTATAATACTGTACTATTGTTGTAAGATATGTAAAGAGGGAAATTCCCATATATTCTAGTAATCAACATCACATATAAATCACTGCATATTATAGTATGTTTGATAGCAATAAACACAATTAATATTATAAATTTTAGGGAAATAAACACAGGAAATAAATGCAATGAAAACTATTTTTTAGAGCAATACAAGTTCTAGGCTTACAGTCGTGAATCGAGGAATTTAAAATAGAGAAGACCCAAGCAAGAAATTTTAAAGATGAAGGGTCCAGACTATCAAAGCCTCACCAACATGATTGGGGCTGAGGTACACAATTTTGTGTCTATGGCACCTCTAGATGGCTGTTTCACTTATGTACAACATATAGACAACCATGGGAACCAATTAACAACAGAAACATTCCTATTTTACAAATTACAGCCAGTAAAAGGTCAATTTGCGTACATGAAAATAATATGACGATTATTGACATCCAATTATAGCAATGAAATTACACATTAGAAATATTTTACGAGAGTTTCATTTCAACGTTAATCACTTGAACGTGTATAATAATATGTTTGCATTGCATAAAATTAAGTGAACAAATTAGCAGGCTATATAACTAAGTTTTAAAGACGGTCTTTTATTTGTTTATTTAATATATTTTTGTTAATGTGATAATGAAATTTATGATTTATTGAATATTGTTGGTATTTCACTTAATATAAGGTATAATATGTTTATTTGTTATGCTTTACTACCCACAAAAAATATTATATTCCTATTATTTTATTATGCTTCACTGCCAAGGAAGACAACATTTTTTGAATTCATGTATTTTAAAAATTTCAGGATGGAACTCTGTGATAAGGGGGTGGGGGAGGGCCTGCAATTTTCATGAAAGACTTTTGTTGCAAGGGTAGGATTTTATTCAAATAAGTTAAATCATAATTACTGTAAATAATAGCAATATTCTGTAATATTACAATTAATTCAGACTTACTACCTGGATCAAAGAATACTATAGCTTTGAGACAAGCGAATTCTTGGTCATCTATAAGCACATCTCTCATTGGTCGAACAAGTTCATCAAGTATCCGTCCAGCCACACGGCTGACCTCTAGTTCAGGACAGTGTCTTGGTATCACTAAGTCGTTTCCTAGGAGTAGGAAGTCTTTAAGGGGTGTGGATCGTCGAGCGACGCCCATCAACAGGTGCTCCCCAGCATGAGCTCTCAACAACGCAACCTGAAGGTAGAGTAAATTAGAATGGTTAAGAACTTATCAGAACTTTGTTCAATTATGCCACCTTACTTCCAACTGTTACCCGCTCCTTCTCTACCATTTATTTCATCATCTTTCCCTCTCAACATCCTCACCTCTCACTTTTACTTCCATCATCTTTGTTTTCCATCATCAACTCTCATACTTTTCCATCACCTCTTTTTTCATCTCCTCCCAAAATCTTTCCCTGTGAGCAATCTTCTTTCTAGAAATCTACACCTTTTCCATTATCTCCCTTCCCAACTTGATCTATCCATTCTCTTACATCATCTCCACTTAAGAAACACCTCCTGAATGCTAATTTCTCCTCCTATTACACAATCATCATAGAATCTACTTCTCATTTTCTATAATTTTTCTTCTCAACATCAATCACTTCCTACATCTACATCTTTCTTGACCGTTGTTCACCTATTCCCAATTCTCCTCCATCATCAGCCCTCCTCTGGCCTTCTCTTCCATCTTTGTTACCGCAATAAGATCCCTTAATTGTCCCAGTAGTCTACACAAGGAGGAGTCCTGTTTTGGAGTCTTACAAAATAATCAATTTTGATAGTCAAAATTAATTAATTCATTGAAAACTTATTTAAATGATCAGCAATAAATCAATGGATACACTAGTACTCTCTGCTTCCAGGAACCATCCTCCTTTCCATGACATCTACCCTTACCTTTGTGACGACACCTACCTGATCATCTAATGGCAAGTCTCCAAAACATGGGATGTACTTGGCCCACTCTACCAGGATAAGTAGCTGTTGCTTCATACTCTCACATATGTCATTCAAGCTGGCTATTTTTTTGGACGCTACAATGTTCTCAGGTAGAGGGACTGGTGCCAGTGCTTGCTGTAATGATACAAGGTACACACATTTATTTCAGGCTGTATTTCCACACACTATAAATATACCATTTATGCTAACAAATACATTTATGTTGAGTTGGCTAAAGTTTGAACAATCAAATTTAAAAGATTAATTGTTTACTTTAAATATTCACGTAAATGATTTAGAATGTGAATACAATTTCTTCATGATGATCAGGTAGATCCAGGAATTCAAAATAAGGTGGGGGGGGGGAAGTGGGCAGTGAGGTATTTTGGCAGACAGTGGAATGTCTAGATAACCTCAGACCCACAATGGTTAGGACTAAGGTTTGAAATTTTGTGATTATAGCACCTCTAGATGGCCAAAATTGGCACTCTAAGACTTGAATTTAAATTTAATTTTCTTTTATTTTATTCATTTTTATATAATTTTTGAAAAATGTATGGGGGAGGGGCTATTATGTTGATAATGATGATGATTGTGAATAACAAAATGTATCTGTATCTTGGCACTATTATGTCTGATATTTCAGTGCCTAAATGAATAAAAATTCCATTGTATGATATAAACTTACATGGATATGAATGCTAATGAAATTACCAGATGTTTAGTTTAATACACTTTTGTAATGTTAAATACATTACATCAAGACATATGTATGATTATGGTATTTGAATACAAAACTTAAAATTGTCATATTAGAGAATCAAGTGGATTGAACTGGAACATTTTACAAAATAAACTATAGAATAAAATATGTGGAACTTAAAGGAAACTCTAAAATTTTAGGAGTTGAATGTTAATGGAAATATGAAATCAATTCACATAAATTTGATAATATTTTGAAATGGGAAGACATACTGTAGAAAAATACCCTAAGAAATTGACATATATTTTACACATAAAACATATACGGATTTATGTTAGTTACTACATATTTACAATTCAATTTTATGTTTTTTAAATGTAAAAAATACAAAAATACAATAATTTATAATTTTAATTTACTTAACATTTTGTCTGAATCCATTTAAGAATCTTAAGAATGTTATAACAGCAAGGATTTAGATGTTATACTGTACAACAATAATCTGTAAGGTCTTAAAAAATCCTGTTTACATTGTGCGTGATGTGTGTAAACATCTCATCCACCTTTATGCTGTGTTTGAACTATGCCATATGGGAAATACAAAGTTTGCTGAGTATAAAATGTACATGATTGTTGTAATTTTGATGTATTAAGTATCCTATTTTTTTGCATCCATCAGCAATATTTGTAACCGAAAGAAAAAAAAATAAAGAAATAAATTAAATTTTTTATCTTTTACTGTGGGGGAATGCTAACAGACCAATAAAAAAATTGTATTTTTATACAAAATATCATTTAAGAGGCGAGTTTGCAAAAGACAGTGTACGGTAAAAGGCTTGCCATATTTTAAGCCCACTAGACAGTATATATACATGGAGGAAATTATATTTCCTTCAAGGTATATATGAATAGCTTGCTAATAAATGCTTACCTGCCTAGACATCATCTCGGCATTGACTAGTGTCGCTACACCCATTAACCCACCACCTTGTATACTTTCTTCGTAACTTGTCCTCCGTGTACTGATCCTATCACGTTCGTTCTGGACGGCTAATTTGAAGAAAGCATATTTCACATTATTATCTCACCAAAAAAATAGACGTGATGATGTCATATCACCCAGAAATATGGGAAAATTGCAGGTATTGGTCGCATAATTCTTGATTGATAGAGACAAAACTAAAGTATACCCAACAATTTCTCAAATATGGGAAAAATTAGTGCCCATACCTTTTAAATGTGCTTTAATAATAACAATAATTTGAACATTCATACTTAGTGTTTACATTCCGTAGTAACCATAGTCATGCGCATGTTGATTACACACAGACTGATCGAGGGCAGTGTGTTGGCGCCACTCAATGATATTCGTATGGTTTGCCAACAATGGAGTAATTTTTTTTACTGTACTTTTGCCTTTACAAGACCAATTAAGTTCTGTATTCTGTATTCTACAGTTACGATAGCATTATATACTATGTTCATGTAGTCTTGCGTCTACATATATTCATCAATAGAGGCTAGCGCAAAGTTGAAAGGAGTGTTAATTTCTGTAATTTACTTTACTTTTGGCCATCTGCAGGGGTTTCCCATTAAAAATGTTTCAATCATGCCTATTTCTTGATTGGAAAAGAGGAAATTAACACTTTTGTTTAATAAAGAATAAAAATACCTTCTTTTTTCATTCCTGCTCTGAAACATTTCTTTAATCGACAATATCTGCATTGATTTCGTTTGTCCTTATCCACCACGCACATCCTACAGAATCGACACGTATACTGGTGGTTCTTACGTACACTTCGTCGGAAGAAGCCCTTGCACCCATCACAGCTTGCCGCGCCATAATGCTTTCCTGTGGCTCTGTCACCGCAAATGGCACACTGACTAACCGGCTGGTTGCAACTACCTTCTTCAACTGCAAGAAATGGTAAGAAATATAAATTTATAATTAGTGTCTAATGGAAAATTATACTATTTTATGGTCTACTGTTCATTCTTTTATTATTAGGTGTTTTTCACAATAGTTTTGGCTTTATACTGAAATAGTAAATCCTACACAATAATAACTTACTAATAGAACTTTAAAATGTATGAACCAAATATAATTGCAATAAGCAAAAAATAATAAAATAATAATAATAATTAAAATCTGGCAAAATTACTATCGAATTGTATGATTACAGAGCTCTACCTGGAAGTGCTGTAGTATTCTCAACTCTTTCTAAATACAGGTAACATTTTCTCTTTTTTTACAAGCATGTTTACTTTGCACTTACTTCTGGCCTTATAATTTATATGGTACTGTACTGAGTTTCAAATGTTCTTTTTTGTTCTTTATGGTGTGAATTTGCTCCTAGGTTTCAAGCTAAGCACTTACTAAGTTTTTTTATGTGAGTATTTTGAATTGTTAACAATAAGTGAATAAAAGGGAAGAACACTTTTGAATGAATCAGAAAATCAAGAAAAGTTAATTTGGTCCTCCTTTGTCTAAGTTAATTTAACCTTTTGCCGACTGAAACCACTACTGCTTTTGTATAAATTTAACCTGAAAGATCTTATCATTTTATTATCAGGATGTTGTTTGTGAACTATTAAACGTGCAAACCACAAGGTTTAATAAACCTTTCTCAAAGCCTAATTGCAACATTTAACAAATCATGCTAAAGTTTGTATATTGTGTCAATGTAACAATTTTATTATTCTATGTATCAACAGAGAGCTTCAAATGAATATTGATAAATGGAATAAAAGTAATTGCATACACTTTTTGTTAAATACGGTAGTAATTTTGTAGGCCTTATTTAGTTTACAATCAAGATTATTTGGAACTAACTACATATAACTTTCCCCTACAAGATACAAATACAGTGCATTGTTTTGTTAGTGTTTTAGTTTTAATATTTGAGATTTTAGCATAAAAATTATAACCAATTTTTAATTACTATAGTTTTCAAACTATATTACTCAAAACAAATGTAATATTTCAGCAACAAAAAGAAGAACGATCATTTTAAATATTAATAACAGCAGGTTGTCAGTCACCATAACACTAGCGCCCCTACACGGTTCACATCATGAGTGGGGATGAAAGCTTGGTGGTTAAGATGCTAGGCTTCTAATCCCAAGGTCCTAGGTTCAATTCCTGTCAGTGTTGCTGGATTTTTTTTTTTACTCACAACCAAAACTCCATTACCTAAACCCCATATTAAGATTTAGTTTGTGTAAAGCATCATGTGATATATATATATATTGACAATCCTTGGTTCATATGTTGTGTGCATGAATAAATAAAATAAATAAATTTTTACCCTGTTCATCCGATCAAACGCAATGAAGAGGATAGATTATAATGATACATAAAAAATATAGCATTTAGTATTCTTATGGTCAATATCACCAACAATTTTGGAATAATTTTTTTTGCGTGCAGTATATATCTTTAAGGAATATTATCCCCTCCCAACACACAACACAACCTCAGCATACACAACTTGTCTTGTCCATGGGCATAAGTAAGAGCAGCATTGCCAAGTTTCACCAAAGAGTTTAATCTATATTCATGTACAAAATGTACTCAAGTTTACTTTGCGTGTATTATGTCTCCTCATTTTGTTATTTTATGATTAATTTCTGACTAATGTTTGTACATCATTATGTTAATGGTGTTGGTAATCTGTTTCTTGCTAAATGAGATATTAGCCAAAACAAGATGACAGCCAATTTATATAGGCCTAGCTCTTTCATTATCAAACACATACTATGTTAATAGTTACATTTAAATGCTTAAAGGGCTATGTTCATTCATGATACAAATCAGTTCCAATTTATAAATTCTCCATCACACCCCCACCCCCCCAGATGTGTATAAGAGACAGGCCTTATAATTCCAAGGACTACCATTATTAGGGATGGGGAAAAGGGGCTGCAGAGTTTTTTAACTGGATGATGTTAAAAAAAATAAAAACAAGTGTTTCTATCATTTTTCGCTGTTGTAAACATTTTTAAATACACTTTTTGATATTTTTCATGGGAAAATTTAATACCCACATATAGATTGCTGCTTAAAATATTCAGGATTCCAATTAATCCCTATTACAGAAAATATTAAATTTTATATTCAGTACATTCTAGAATGTAAAAATTTAGAACCTTTCTGATTTTGGGGGAATGCATACATATCCATACTATACCCCCCTCCTCCCTCTCTTTCCACCTATGTATTTATTTTCATAAAGAAAGGTTATATTTTTGCCTTAAAAAATCAGGAAATTTAACAAGAGGTTACCCATGTTCTGATAGTGAGTTATATCTGTCTCTTATACACATCTCTACTGCTTTTGTGATGTTAAAAAAAATAAAAACAAGTGTTTCTATCATTTTTCGCTGTTGTAAACATTTTTAAATACACTTTTTGATATTTTTCATGGGAAAATTTAATACCCACATATAGATTGCTGCTTAAAATATTCAGGATTCCAATTAATCCTTATTACAGAAAATATTAAATTTTATATTCAGTACATTCTAGACTGTAAAAATGTAGAACCTTTCTGATTTTTGGGGAATGCATACATATCCATACTATACCCCCCTCCTCCCTCTCTTTCCACCTATGTATTTATTTTCATAAAGAAAGGTTATATTTTTGCCTTAAAAAATCAGGAAATTTAACAAGAGGTTACCCATGTTCTGATAGTGAGTTATATTATTAGGCCTACTACTTGTTTATGACTTTACAATTCACTGCACAATGACAAATTGATAAGAACCTGCAGGTAAATAAAATGATAAGCACCGAGTACTTTTCTAGGCTAATTTCTGATAGCATTTACCATACACTAAGTTACAAAGTAAGAGTATTTATATAGGTTATTTATTTAGAATGTTTTATTACATTTATCTCCCAAAATTTGATGTGGTGACGACGCGGAGTCATGCACGTAATGTGTACTAATGTGCGGGTAGTGATTTATCACTTACTTGGAATCGGTATGTCTGATAAGAAAACACACCTGGAAGAAAATGCTTCACACTCCTGAGCATAGAATTTTTTTATCTTGTGTTGTGCACGTGGAGCAGTACGCTACAATACCTCAGTGGTCAAGGTACTCATTTTCCAATCAGCACAAAATATTGGGTGGGAATCCTGCAAAATTTCTGACATTTTTTTTTTTTACAGAAAAACAATAAGTTGTGCTTATCGATATACCCAGTGACACCATACGGTAGGGATCATAAAGGAGTTTTCCACTCTGTCAAACAAACATGTATCGTCAGATACCACTTGAAGTCGGACTACAAATATTAATTTGCCAATCCAACGAAAGTTGTGGCTGCAAATGGTCAAGTGCACCATCCTAAACCATAAAATCTCTCTCTTGACCTCTGCCATCAGTTTTCTCTCAGACCATGATAGGATGACTTAGGTGGTGCTTTGATTCTGACCTCTGTCGAACCTGTTGGGCTCCTTATATGGCAACGTTCTGGAGCCAACACTGAATGGTTGCTTTGCTACTTTACTTCAGAAGTATAGAAAAGTATATTGTGAAAATATTTTCTGCAATAATTACCTATAATGCCATTTGATTACCTACAGTATAAGCTTTAAATTGCCTTTAAAAAGTCTGTAGTGTTAAATATGTAAAAGTTTATTTCGTTCTGTCTCTCATTACAAGTTAATAACTTTTATAATCTTTTACAATAGTAATTCACTGTTTTACTGCAAGGTTTTAGGAGTTTATTCCAGATTTTTAAATAATTGTGCTTGGTTTATTATTGATTAAACAGTTCTACAGTATACAGTATGGTTATATAGTGAATTCAGTTGAAATAGGCCTACATAGTTTCTTTTTGGGAATATAGATTTTTGAGGACACACAATTGAAGAATAACCTTACATTGTTGGGTCAAGTTTTACGGTGTTTACAATTGGTACATAAAATATAGTAAAAGTAAACATCATGGCAGAATACTAGATTGTAACTCATGGTACAGCTGTTAGTACTACCTTGACATCAACTTGATAATACAGTAATTTTCATAGTAATAATAATGACAATGCACTATAAACCATAGGTTTGATTTTAATTTATTTTTCATGGTAATTTTGCGAAAAATTCTGATTGTCTTAAGTGAAATTTTTTTTATAAATTCAGCTTTTATCTTGGTGGAAAATAGGATGGTAATTGTGCATGCCTCTTGAGGATAGGGTCCACTAAAAAAAGTTTAGGCCATTTTAAGCTGTTGTGAAATGTCTTAGTGTGTTATGTTATGCACAAAAAATTGTTAAAAACAAGAATAACATTGTTTTCCTCATTTTTTTATTCCAAGTCATGGATTAAGGGGAGTCCGGCCTGTCCAACAGAGGATTGAATCCCCACCCCTCCCCTCGCCGGTTCCACCACACCCCTGCTTGTTTCCTTAACCGCATTGATACCATAGCAGCGACATAAATTACAGTATCGCTAGTACATGTATTGTTGACATATTGATAGCATTGTGTTGTGATGTGGAGACTTAAAGGAAAAGATTGGGGGGAAATCTTAATGATAACCTGAAAACCTCTTTAGTGTAAGTACCTGATAAAGTTGCTGCAACGATAAGTGTAGCCAATCAGATGGTTTATTACTAAGCATTTGTTTGCTAACATTTCTAGTTGTTGACTTGGTTGTGTTTGTATAAGCTGTGCTATAGAGGCTGATCTGTTAAGGGATGCATATCTCTAGTAGTATTAATAGATATTAAAGTCTCTACTCTACTTGGGACAGCTATACTTCATTTTACCGTATTATTATTACAGTGAATTAATTTTTAAAATATACAACACATTTTCTATCATATTATATATCATAACGATAATAGAGTATGAACATATACATCAAATGATCTAGCAATGTATATTTAAATTTATTTAAG